CTGCTCTTCCAATGATATAATTTACAGAGAGCAGAAGGAGCAAGAAAGGGATGTTGGGGGTGCAAGGATCAACTTCTTGTACAGAAAATGATTTTGGAAGAGGCTAAAACATATCACCGCAACCTCTCCATGTGCTGGATTGACTACAAGAAAGCATATGACTCTGTCCCTCACGAATGGATTCTGAAGTCTCTTCATTGTATTGACCTCCCTCAACGACTACTTGATTTACTCAAGTCTTTAATGAGTTGCTGGTCGACTCAACTTGAGATGTACTCGCTGGGGCAGGTGCAGACTTCGGAATCTATTCCAATCAGAAGGGGAATATTTCAGGGGGATTCCTTTAGTCCTTTGCTTTTTTGTCTGTCTTTAAATCCTTTGAGCTTTCTGCTCAATAAAGAGGAGGGTTACCATCCCGGACCTCCTCAGCACAGATCACCAACACCTCTTACTCATCTCCTTTACATGGATGATATCGAGCTCCTTGCCAAAGGAGATACCAATTTGAAAGAGCAGGTTCTCCTTGTCGAGTCCTTTTCGAATGATATTGGCATGACATTTGGACTCGACAAATGTAATACTCTTTCATTTGAAACGTGGCAAGGTAACTAATGATGGATCGGTCAAGTTACAAGGGGAGGAGTTATTGAGCATCTTGTGGAAGATCAGGCCTACACCTATCTTGAATGCAAGTTCGAGACAAGCTCCAGAATGCCCAGATTCAAGACAAACTTCGGGCCGAGTACAAATCTCGTTTAAAGAAAATCTGGAGTTCAGAGCTAAATGCTCGAAACAAGGTCAAAGCCACCAATACTTTTGCTGTGCCAGTCCTTTCCTATTCCTTTGGAGTAGTTGATTGGACAAAACAAGACATCCAGAGTCTTGACCGTCTGACCAGAAGGATCATGTCTGATAACAGAGCCCACCACCCTCGTTCCTCTCTTAACCGTTTATACATGCCAATCAATTCTGGAGGTCGGGGTTTGATTAATGTGGAGGCTCTTCATGACAGAATTTTATTGTGTACTTTTGCACATATTTATTTATCGGATGATCCTCTGGTGATGCATGTGAAGACTCATGATGAAAGCAAGGAATTCCACAGCTATTTTAAGCGTGCCAAAGTTGTTGGACAGAATCTGAGATTTCAGGTAGATTTTGTTGATGGCGATGTACTGCTGGACGGTACAGCGATGGGAGTAAACCAGGTGAAGTCCTTCACCAAGTCTGCCCAGAGTCGGTCCTTTGTGGAGAAGCTTTCTGAGAAGCCATTGCATCGTGTGTACATGCAGTGTGTTGAACAGAATAGCAATCCCACTGACTCCTTCGCCTGGATGAAGTCGGCTGGTCTTAAATGTGAAACTGAGGGCTTCCTTTTTGCTGCTCAGGACCAGTCACTTCCCACTCGCAATCGCCTAAATGTGATTCTTAAAGAAAATATCAATATGAAATGTCGACTTTGCAATGAATTTACAGAGACTGTCCAACACCTTGTCAGTGGATGCCCTTCCTTGGCACAAACAGCATATCTTAAACGACATGATGGCATGGCTCGTTGCTTTTACTACCGTCTCCGACATGCCTGTGGCTTTGACTCCGAGGTCCATCCATGGTACGACCCTGAACATGTCCAGGGCGTCATGGAAAATGATGCTTTCAAACTTCTGTGGAATAGGCCCATATACAGCCTCAGAAGAATTCCAGCCAACAAACCTGATCTTGTCCTTTTGATAAAGCCAATGAATTTATTTATATCATTGAATTTTCTGTCCCTTTGACACCAATGTGATTGGCAAGATTCAGGAAAAGCATGATAAATATGCGGACCTCGCCTTTGAAATGTCTCGCTTGCATCCCAAGTACACTGTCGTCAGGCTCCCCATTGTTCTCGGTGCCCTTGGTTTGGTACCTCCTGATCTCTTGGCGCAGATCAGAGAGTGCCCGGGTTCTCCACCGGGAGCACAGCCCTTCTGACACTCTGGGTAATGCAGAAGGCTGCAGTGTTGGGGAGCCTTCATATTCTCCGGAAAGTTCTTGGTGGGTTCGACTAGGCAGCGTTTCCTGGGAGAAGTCCCATTCGCTGTCTGGGCTGCGTGTAGAGGGGGCAAGGGCCCTGAGCTGATGATGAGCCTTACCAGCCTGACTGTGCCAGGATCACCCGAACCAATGAATTTATTTCTCTTTGCTGCATACATGATAAATATCTTTAATCTGTGCAAAACACTGTAATAATAATAAAGTTCTTGGTGGGTTCGACTAGGCAGCGTTTCCTGGGAGAAGTCCCATTCGCTGTTTGGGCTGCGTGTAGAGGGGGCAAGGACCCTGAGCTGATGATGAGCCTTACCAGCCTGACTGTGCCAGGATCACCCGAACCCTCTCTGCTGCATACTATCTTTAATCTGTAAAACATAATAGTAATTAATTTGTATAGCGCCTATATTCCAACTTTAAGCTGCTCAATGGCGCTGAACAGGGTAGATAATTTACATATCATATGCTTGATTAAACAGGAAAGTTTTTAGACAGTTCTGGAAGGATTTGTGAGAGCTTGCTGTTTTGAGTTCAAATGGTAGATTGTTCCACAAGGTAGGGGCAACTTTGGAGAAGGCATGATCAGCAAGTTTAGTGGATGTTGAGGGAACCGAGAGATTGTACATATTCTGAGATCGGAGATATCGTCCTGGTGTATACATCTGGATCAGGTCCTTTAGGTAGAGAGGGGAGTTATCATTGTGCAGAGCAGCGTAGGTCACTGATAAGACTTTGTACACCACCCTAAGCCGAACTGGGAGCCAATGTAATTTTTTGACAACAGAGCACCGAACAGCCGTCACCTTGTATTACCTTTGGCCATAAACTACAGTGTAGAGTCATCCGTTACATGTGCTAAGAGATGTTTGACGTTCCATCCAGAAAAACCTTCAAGAACAAATGAAAGTGTCTCTGCGATCATCCATGAGGTTTGTTACGTCAGTTGCAGGCTGTGCCAATGAGATGTTGACCGCCAGGTTTACGATTGTGAAATTTCGCCAGAAAGATATCAGACCTTCAAGAACAAATGAAAGTTTCCAAATCTGCTGTAGATGATAGCAGGTGCAACCAGTAGTTTTGATGATGTGTTCCTGGTTGTTAAAACCTTACACAGGAACAAATAGGCTCGTATGTCAACTGGGCATTTCAAAGCATTACGATTTCTGAAAAGGGAGACACTTACAGTGCAATTCTACTGCCGAATGATCCTGGTTTTGGACTCAAATGGAGCAACAACTGTGTCAAGCTAAGAGAAGCAGCGAGGATCCAAACTGAAAAGTTAAAAACATTGTCAGGAACATATTGATTTTCAATACCAAATACATACTGGACTCCACTTCATTTTTATTGAATTAAACATAAGTGAATATTCATGGACATAACAACCATCAATTCTTCTAAATTGAATGGCTATGCAGCAAATATATAGCATTACTTCTCTTTGGGTTACATGTTTTTTTAACTGGAACTACTCTTTTGCCCATAGGGGCAAGTGTTGCCCCAGTGACAAATCGGTGCATGTAAACTAGGCTTATTTGGTCTAACTGAATGGATGACATCGCATCCAGTTTTGACAAGTTTACCCTGCTTGATAACACCAAAACGTTGCATCCACTGCGATAAAGAAACTGTCTATCCATAAAAAAGTGTTCCGGTTTAGAAGTGTTCCTGTTCTTCGGTGTTCAAAATGTCAGGAAAACAGAAAATTGTCATTTATAATTCGTGCATTTAAACATAACCCTATCTTTAGCAAACAAAACTTTGTTTACAGTAATGGTAATTTAAGGATAATTAAAAAGGAATACCAAAAACAATATTGTATTTTACACAATACTCTTGTCTGTTTAAACGGAGTTAATTTAATGTAATGTCATTAGTATTCATCAACTGCATTCACATTCCCGGAAGCACTCGTGGGATATCAACCTAAAACATTAAGCCGGCAGAGTTGATTAAGCGGCTGACTTTGTCTGCTGGCTCTGAGGCTGTGGGTTCGAATCCCAGATGGGACTCAACCCAACAAAAGTACCAGAATCTGTACTTTCCTAAGAAACAGTAATCTCAAATATAACATTGGTTATAATTGCAATAGGCCCCCCTGCCTTAAGGCAGGGAACCCTAAATATAGCAATGTACCAAAGAAGATTCGGGCAATCCTCGCTGGTCCGGCATTTCGTCAGCGCATTGGCATTGCCTCCTTTATATGCAGCCCAGACATTAAATGAGGATTCTTCGAGGAAGTATTGACTGGTTGTACCAACCAAAAACGTCTTGGACTCACCATCACTGCAGCCTCCGGCATAACCAAAGGGTATAGCTCCCAATGTCAGCAAACACATTTGGAGGAACCAAGCCTGAGGCTAAGAACATTTCGTACACTTTGTAAGGGAGGACTACATATTTGCCATGTTTCCCATGCCTGATCTTTACAATCACATTGCTGTAAAAAGGGGCACAAATTACATTGCATAAATAATTTCACGAGTTTTATCAAAACAGACAAGGTCAGGTGTGTCGACATGTCTGCGACTGCAGCCATCTATGGGTGATGGGGTAGGCGAGAGGTTAAAGCATTTACTCGTCTTATCTACCAAGCGCCAGACTGCAAGTCATAAGTCACGAATAGAATGCCCCTGTAGTTCTGAGTCTGTGTTTTTGTTTTAATTAATTCATGCCTTGGTATCATTTCAGATCTTTTAATGGCATCCTTTGAACGTCATGATGGGTATACTTGTCCTTTTGATACTAAGAGTCTCTGTAACAATATACCATACATTCTTGCCATACAGTAGATAATGTGGTATTGTTGACATGGGGTATAATTTTCTGATGTAGTTCTAGTCTTTTCAGTGCATAAACGAATCGGTCAGTCATCCGATGTGTGGTATCAATTATTAATCACTGAAACATATTCACAAAAGATGCAAAACTACACAGTTCCATCAGTAACATTTCTTTCTATATTTCAGGATTATTCAGTGGAAATTTACCTGACAATGTCATGGATAGATGAGAGACTTATGTTCCTGAACTACTCCAACTCCAAATGGCTTGAGATCGACACAAAACTAATGGCAGACGTCTGGGTACCAGACGTCTACTTTCGGAATGAAAAAGACGCTTCTTTCCATGAGGTTACGGTGCCTAACAAGTATATGCATCTCTATCCAGATGGCCGAGTGAGATACAGTATGAGGTGTGTTTGAGATTTGAGTAACATACTCTGTTGTGAAGTAACATCATATACTTTCGGCTGATCATTATCATTGCTTCCATAAATTACAAATATGAAATGCAGTATTTCCAGTATGAGTTCACTTAACCAAGTCTTTCTTTGTATGCAATGATACACATTGGACAAGACCACCCTCCATCACTTGTACATATTATTAATCTGCTCTAAACGGAATGTAGAAGCCAATACATTTCTAAATTAATGCAATAATGTTGCAGTAAACAATATTTTATATATTCACAATAACATGTATTTCTATTAACTGTATCCATTATGACGACCACGTGTATCGTGTCGCCATAGCATTGTGACGTCATATGCACAGTTAACTGTTTATTAGTTTTACCAGATGATGGGACCTGAACAGGCCCCGAAAAATATATCGCCATATCATTGTTATCAACTTGATGTAAATTGATCTGTATCATGAACTGTAAATATGTGAACAACTAATTGTTTTGTGTTTTAAATTTGGTGGGGTGGCTTTATCAATGGAGAGTATTTATCATTCATTGACAAAATGTATAACAAATTTGAGGATGCATCCATCGCAGCTAAGTTAGGAGATTTACTGAACATTCTAAATGGTTCTTGGGATATCAGCAATATTTCAGAATTAAGACGGGTGATTTCACAGGAAAAAACCTGTGATCTCTTTTATGCTATTTTTATCCCCCACAAGGGAAGTCTGTCTTCCACATTCATCAGGCTGTTGTGATTGGGCGTTTGAATCAAACATGGTGCTGGTGTGTTTCAGCACCCTTGTTTTTTGCTGTTTTTGACAATGTTTTATTTCACTCAAACTCAACGAATACTGAATCAGTTGCTTCACCGCATGTTCCAACATGTCGTGTAAAGTGCCCATTAAGCACGCAAAAAATTGCATTGACTTTATGGTACAAATGACCTCATTACGTTTAAGTTTATATATGACTATCAATTTTTAGGGTGTTCCCTTACTTTTTGTTTGTAGTATATGTCGCAAATGCATTATCCCGAATTTTGTTCCCTAAATGCTGAGATATAAGGAGGGAAATTACTAGTATCAGGTTCTTAAGTGATTTGGAATGATTTGTGTACAGTACACAACCCTGTCCACTTAAAAGAACCCACGAATCCGTTGGCATATGATCAGATGGCGGCCACATGAATACGTGCAAACACGTAGTTGCGGGTACAGCAACGTGCAGTGAACTTGGACAAAGTACTGTGACTATGTGTCCCAGTCCACCAAGCTGTGATGGGTACCTCGTTAGAATGAGAAAGCCACAATAACTCCGTGCGCCTAGTGGCTGCAAGAGTTGTATACTCCCCAGGGAGTTGAGATTGATAATACGATGTGCCGTTGAGATTGACATCCAATGATCGAGGGAAAATACCAGCGCCTTGAGCATGCACTTGTTGCCTGGATATGTGCGCTATATACATATCCTATAATAATAATATAATTTGGTCAGGGATCAAACCACCCCTTCTAACCTGAATTGATCTACTGTGGACCTGTTTGGAGTTAGATGCTTGAAGAATGCTATTATATGTAATGTCCTTGTATTGTATTGCAGACTTTCATTGACCCTGAGCTGTCGGATGAAGCTTGTAAATTTTCCACTTGATTCCCAAAACTGTCCAATGCTGATACAAAGTTGTAAGTATGTTAATGAAAATATTCCTGACAGGGACGTTTCAAAACTAGAGCCTTTCACAATCTGCTGATTCTTCCCATGGAAAAAACAGTGGATCCTTGATAATGTTTCGCCGATTACAACAGCTAATTTACTTAATGTGTTTGGTTGACAGATCATAGAATTTATGAATAGGAGCGTGTGCCTATGTTTATACTCTGACACGCCGAAAGACAGCTGTGCCCTTGTTCATTAGATTATTTGGTCATGTCAAGGGCAATTGAAAATACCTATTTTACGAGATGAAAAACTTCCGTCCGGTCTCAGATCTATCATATATTTCCAAATGCCTTGAAATAGATGTTCAAAGCAACCAGCTCTTAGCAACATCGCAATCTGCCTATAAAAGTAAGCACAGTACTGAAACCAATCTAGTATGTGTTCACAACGGACAGCAATGGACCAGCAGAACATCACACTTTTGTTCTCCTTGATCTGTGTGCAGCATATGTCACTGTGGACCACAGTGTCCTCCTGTATCGGCCGCAGACAAGACTTGGCATCACAGGTACAGCGCTGGAGTGGATACGCTCATACCCCTACAACCGTACAATCTGTCAAGATAGGTGATGTGTCCTCAGCACCCAGGCAAATTGTGTATGGCGTTCCTCAAGGTTCGGTTCTTGGACCCATGCTTTTCAGCCTATACGTTCTGCCTACTGGAGAAATTGTCAGGAACCATGGACTTAAGTTCCACATCTATGCAGATGACAATCAGATTTATGTATCCATTAAACCTCAGGAAAGCAACTTGTGGTATACAAAAACTGAAATTGTGCATGACAGATATTAGAACATGGGTGATAGTTGATTACCTTAAACTTAACAACAACAAAACAGAGTTTATACTTTTAGGGTCTAAGCAACAACTTCAAAATTACAATCTGATCTTTCTCTCATCATTGGTAATTACAAAGTAAAAACATCTACCTCAGCCAGAAATCTCGGTGTGATTATTAAGTCTATTATGACAGTTGACGAGCATGTCAAATCCATGCCCATCACATCGGCACAAGTGAGACGATTCGGGCCATATATAACATGACTATTTTTATTTAATAATTAAGCTTATGGGAGACAAAAAAAAGGTCATTTTAATACCTTTTGACTAATATTTTACAAATGTTTTGTTGAAAACATGTTGTGTGTTAAATACTAGTCAAACTGGATGAACAGAAGTTTATTAATCTAATTGCCAAATATTTCGTGAACAAATCCCCTGAAATGATTTTGTCTAGGGCTTAATTCGTAATTTTGGTCATTTGTTTTCAAGTGGTATTTTTTGCGTTACCTACGAATACAGTTTTCAATGACTCTGTCAATTTATGTAAATGCAACACAAGGTTATGTTTTGTATTACTTTTTACAGCATTAATATGTAAAGTACTCGAATGCAATGGCGTTACATAATATTTCTTACAAGTAATAATCTAAAACAATGTTAGAAAATCAAGGTCTGATTTGGTAAAAGAAAACCACGTTACCTACAAATACCATTTAATGTGTTGCCGTTTGCACAGATGAACACATTAGTGAATGATGTCCTAAGTTCAAGTGCAAAGGGCCACAAGGTATACATGTGCCACATCTGAACGTTTTCTGTGCTGTTTTTACGAAGATATCACACAAAATAACCGGTATTCGTAGGTAAATTTTAACTCCCAAATGTTACCTACAAGTACCAACAACTGATCACATTCAAATAAATTGGTGGAAAGACAACACATGACATGTGTTCCATTTAGAAGTTATCGTAGATGAGACCAGACAACATCTTGGTGATTAGTAAGTGTAATTTGCATTTTCTGTAAGAATGTTATATAAATAAACCCATGTCACAATAACATAGGATGCATATGACACTTGTTACAACTAACCAACTTTAATTTTAGTGAGGTTTTAAGTCTTAATATTGTAACAAAAAGCCTCAGACTGCAAGTGGAATTGACATCGGGGCTCAATTTGGCAAGACATGGTGTCCCGCTGGGATTTCCCCGGTTGTGGCTCACGGTATTTGTACGTAACATGTATTCGTTGTTAACAAAATGAAACAAAGAACACAATACGCTACTATAACATAATTTATGCTGAAGAGAATTATAGCAGATCATAAGTAAACTGATTAGGTACGCAGTACTGCATAGTAATAGATTCAAATGGCTACATAACTGAGCGTTCAATAAAAATGTTCTATTCAGGGATGCACTGCAGTTCGTGGTTTAGACTTTATTATAGTGATATAATGAATTCTTTTTTATTGAAATGTCAGGAAACAAGTTGCTCTTGGTGATAAAAGTAACAGTTTGCATGATATCACGCGATCAACGGTTGATTCGTTGGTAACATTTGTATTCGTTGGTAACATTCCATATTTGTAGGTAACATCAGTCAGTGTGTTTGAAGTTGTAAGTCTTGTTCAGGGCTGTCACCGATGCACTTGAGAACATAGGATAATTGAGACTGTAGTAGAAGTAAGTTGCATGTGTTTAGTAATTAGATTTGTCAAAGGTATGTCGTATTCGTAGGTAGCTCGTTTTTGTAGATGAAACTTTCTGTCAATGTCTATCTAATAGCAATTGTCATTGCAAAATATGGGTAATTAAAGCAGAGTTATAGTTCAGTAAGACGCATAATGTATTGATTGGTTTAGTGACATGTTTACCTGTACATAATGGTATATGGTATACGGTAATAGTTCAAGCTGTTTAAACATTTGTGATGTGCTTTCTTTGAATACAAATGTCAGCTGAAACATTTGGTAAATAAAATTTCAGGTGTATTGATTTTAGTTCAGTTTCTATACTTCTCATCAACAGTTTTGACTCACTAGTGTAAATATAGCCACTAACTTCAGGCGACTATTTTAAACTAAATTTTGCAAAATGTTCCATGCTGTTTAAAGGAACAGTTTACACATAAACTGATGTATTGTAAAACAAATTTGTAACGTTGAAAACATTATTGTCATGAGTTCAATAAATGATAAAAATCAGTGAAAATTGGCGAATTCTGAACAAAACTTTACACCAAAATGCAGCTGTTCACATGTACGATATTTGCACATGCTTTTCAGCAATTTGATGCATGATCCTCGTGCAATTCATCTACATAAGGTTTGCAGTTGGTTTTCCAACTATATATATATATATAGTAGATAGGGACAGTGGGAATCTCGTTAATCCATTCATCAGTTAAAATGACATTGCTACTTTCCGACATACACTGAGACAAAACAAAGAGATAGCCTTAAACTGGTTGTAAACAATCTTCATTCACATGTCCTATGCACTTAGATAGACAATTTCCAAACTGTTCGATGTTTTAATAAGCCAGCTATGATTTAGTTTGACATATATATATACATTTATGAAACACAAGGAATTATGTGATATTTGTTACCTACAAGTTCATTGTTTTTATCTTCCACCGAAAATTTAGTTTTTGATGCATTTTCAAATTTGTTGTACTTACCGAAAGTTCCACCCGTTGTCTCTCAGATGAATAAGATAGATATGTAATAATGATTTGTTTATGAAAAGAACACTAAGTGGTGCTATCTCACTTACATCAAACAAAGGTACCCAAATGGTTCTAATTTCGTAAAGCTTGAGGTTATAAAACATGAAAGAAACCATGATATGGCTTCAGAGTTTCTATAGTCATTAACATATTGTGCATTCAGAACAACCGTGAAATTGGATGTTAGGCAACATATAACCAATCTAATCACAGGATATACAAGGTATGATGTTGGTATTTGTAGGTAATTTAGAAAATGAGCCTTCAACTTCACTGATCCACCAACTTATCACTTTTAGAGATTAGTGATGGCAACTGATTTTCATAAGAGGCAAATATGTAGACTTTACATTGGTAAAAAGAATTACAAGGTGCAAGCAATTCTATTTTGGACCCTTGTACCTAGCTGTGTACACTTTTCGTTGGAATCGACCATCTACAACTCAGCCACATCCGATTATCTCAGAAACCTTATCAGCCAACACGTTCCAGCTCGCCCACTTCCATCCAAAGACAACATCAGTCTAACACAACTAAGCACAAAAACATGGGACAGAGAGCCTTCGCAGCAGCAGTTCCAACACTTTGGAAGGACCTGTCAATTCCATTGAGATTACTTTCATCAGAGTCTGCATTCAAAACAGCCGTAAAAACTCATCTTTTCCAGATTGCTTTCGCTAAGCTACTCTAATACTACCGTCTACACTGCTATTATTTCCAACTCTGTTTGTTTTCTAATCTTCAACGATCTTTCTTAAACCGCAGTTAAGCACCATATTGTGGAAACTAGGCGCTATACAAATCCATTATTATTATTTTTTACAGATTAAGATGAAAATTGCAGCAGAGAGTGTTCGGATGATCCTGTGACAGTCAGGCTGGTAAGGATCATCGTGAGCTCAGGGCCCTTGCCCCCTCTACACGCAGCCCAGACAGCGAATGGGACTTCTCCCAGGAAATGCTGCCTAGTCGAATCCAGCAGTACATTGCCATCAACAAAATTAACCTTAAATTTCAGATTTTGTCCAACAACCTTGGCACGCTTAAAATAGTTGTGGAATTCCTTGCTTTCATCATGAGTCTTCACATGCATCTTAAGAGGATCATCCGATAAATAAATATGTGCAAAAGTAAACAATAAAATTCTATGATGAAGAGCCTCCACATTATTCAAACCCCGACCTCCAGAATTGATTGGCATATATAAACGATTGAGAGAGGAACGAGGGTGGTGGGCTCTGTTATCAGACATGATCCTTCTGGTCAGGCGGTCAAGACTCTGGATGTCTTGTTTCGTCCAATCAACTGCTCCAAAGGAATAGGAAAGGACATGCACAGCAAAAGTGTTTGTGGCTTTGACTTTGTTTCCAGCATTTAGCTCTAAGTGCCAGATTTTCTTTAAGTGAGATTTATACTCGGCCCGAAGCTTTTCTTGAATCTGGGCATTCTGGAGCTTGTCTCTAACTTGCATTCCAAGAAAGGTGTATGCCTGATCTTCCTCAGATGCTCAATAATTCCTCCCCCTTGTAACTTGACCGATCCACCATTAACTACCTTGCAACGTTTCAAATGAAGAGTATTACATTTGTCGAGTCAAAATGTCACGCCAATATCGTCAGAAAAGGACCTCGATGTCATCCCTGTAAACCAGATGAGTAAGCGGTGTTGGGATCTGTGCTGAGGAGGTCCGAGATGGTAACCCTCCTCTTTATTGAGCAGAAAACTCAAAGGATGTAAAAAAACCCCAAAAAGTAAAGGACTGAAGGAGTCCCCCTGAAATATTCCCCTTCTGATTGGAATAGATTCCGAAGTCTACACCTGCCCTTGCGAGTACAGCTCAAGTTGAGTCGAACAGCAACTCATTAAAGACTTGAGTAAATCAAGTAGTCGCTCAGGGAGGTAGGTACAATGAAGAGACTTCCGAAACCATTCATGAGCGACAGAGTCGTATGCTTTTTTGTAGTCAATCCAGCACATGGAGAGGTTGCGGTGATATGCTTTAGCCTCTTCCAAAATCATTATTTGTGCAAGAAGTTGATCCTTACACCCCCAACATCACTTTCTCGCCCCCTTTTGCTCTCTGAAAATTATAGCATTGGAACAGCAGTAAGATGACACGAGGTTTGTCACACACCCTGTGAATATTTTGTATTGTGTATTCAAACATGTGATAGGGCGGAAGGTTTTGGGATCAGTCAAGTCTTTTATCTTGGGAAGAAGTATTGTGAGACCTTTGCAGAACCATGGAGGAACATCACCTGTGTCCACGAGAGAATTGGAACAGTGGAGTAATGGTGTTTGGACACAGGGGAACAGTTTCCAGTACCGGTTTCGAATGCCATCGAATGGAGCTGTATTAGACTTGGACTTTTTGATGACACTTTTCAGGCAATCTGGTGAGATGTAACAGAGAAACGACCCAGTTATTTTCTCATGCATTGCATGGTCATAATCACTGACCCATGGTGCCTCCAGGTTACAGTCGCCGGGTACAGACCACAACTGTTTCCAGAACCTTTCATTGGCATCCGTTTATCATGCTCACCATCATTATTTGTTTTCAGGTGCCTGTAGAAGTACTTTTCATCATTTCTAAAAAGTTTATTCTGTAACATATGTTATATTTGGGATTACACTTTCTTAATAAAGTACAAATTCTAGTAGTATTTGAGTTGAGCCCCATCCGGGATTCGAACTCACACCCTCAGAGTCGGGCACCTAATCGCCAGCACACAAAGTCAGCCGCCTAACCTGCTCAGCTACCGTGACTTGCATTTGACCACTTTCTAAATGGCTTTGTGTAATCAAAGTTTATTCTGTTGATGAATTTATTTTTCCTTTATTTTGGCCTTTAGGGAATGGACAATCTGGAGAAATATCATTTCTTACGTTTTTTTGTGTTTCAGTTTTAATTTTCTCCAAATTGCTTTTTGCCATTTTTTATGTTTTACAGATTAAAGATAGTATGCAGCAGAGAGGGTTCGGGTGATGCTGTCACAGTCAGGTTAGTAAGGCTCATCAGCTCAGGGCCCTTACCCCCTCTACACGCAGCCCAGACAGCGAATGGGACTTCTCCCAGGAAACGCTGCCTAGTCGAACCCACCAAGAACTTTACGGAGAATATGTAGACTCCCCCCAGAGTGTCAGAAGGTCTGTGCTCCCGGTTGAGAACTCGGGCACTCTCCTGATCTGCGCCAAGATATCAGGAGGTACCAAACTAAGGGCACCGAGGACAATGAGGAACCTGACGATAGTGTACTTGGGATGCAAGCGAGGTCCGCATATTTAGGATGCTTTTACTGAATCTTGTCAATCACGTTGCTGTCAAAAGGGACAGAAACTTCAATGATATAAATAAAATCATTGGCTTCATCAAAGACGACAAGATCAGGTTTGTTGGCTGGAATTCCTCTGAGGCTGTATATGGGACTATTCCAGAGAAGTTTGAAAGCATCATTTTCCATGACGCCCTGGACATGTTCAGGGTCGTACCATGGATGGACCTCGGAGTCAAAGCCACAGGCATGGCGGAGAGTAGTTTGTCGTACAGACCCTGAAACAAATATATCCAAGAAAGCCCACGCAAGTCTAGAAAATGTGGCAAGTCTAGATTTCCTCAGCTTCAGGGTCGGTACCAATCTGCTGAATTCACAAGCCAGAATATGGCTTGTAATTATCAGTTGATCTCTAGCTGTCACTAGTGTTTAATATTCACTCATGGGGAGCCTCCCCCACCACTCCCCAAGACCTCCTGCTTCTGCCTGTCCTCTCACTCCAGACAAACAACGTGTGTGATTACACTAGAGACCTGATGACTTATAAAATCTGAGTATTTTCTTTAACTGTTTCATTTTACACTGGCGAGGAGAGGGGATCATTTCGAAAAGTGTTCCATTTTAGGGTAAAAATGAATTGGAACTTTGATGAGGATGGAAGCAAATATACATAGTATTCGTCCAAATCAGAATACAATGATTGAAAAGTACTTAAGTGGTGAAGATGTGTTGTTTTGTTCTCCATCCAGGAGTGGAAAATCATTGACATTCGAAATTCTCCCTTTTCAAACAAGTCAGTAG